AGCCCCACTATAAAGCGCTGATCACCACCATTATTATTAAAATAAAAAATTAAAAAAACCCAGTATGCATACTGCCATTTGTAAATGCTATAAATTTCACATAAATCAATTAATTTACACGTATTGGGATTTTTTTTTTAGCAAAGACATGTGGCAGAATACATTTTGTCCTAAATTTATGATGAAATTTGATTTTTTAAATTTTTTTACTGGACATGTTTAACAGCAAAAAGTCGAAAATATTGTTTTTTCTGAAAATTGTCAGTTTTTTTTTTATAGCACAAAAAATAAAAACCGCACAGGCAATCAAATCCCACTGAAAGAAACCTCTATTTGTGGGGGAAAAAATACATAAATTTAATTTGGGTGCAGCACTGCATGACCGCACAATTGTCAGTTAAAGTAACGCAGTGCCGTAACGCAAAAAATGGCCTGATTAGGAATTTGGGAAAATCCTCTGGAGGGCAAGTGGTTAAAGTGGAATTAAAGTCAGGAATACCGACCTGTACTTCATTAGTCCAACAGCCAGAAGATCCCTCGCTGGTGCTGACAACGCCTCCCCATCTTATTCAGGGTGCTGGTCTTCGAGCATCTTGATTGGCCAGTGTGCATGATGTCACTCTCACATTGGCCTGACACACTGGCACTGTGCTGGAAATGTAAACTGAGTTGCGCATACACATATATTGCAGGATCTCAAACAATCAGGTAAGTTTGTCTGTTTCTTCTGCCTGTAATTTTTTTATTTCTGACTTTAGTTCCACTTTAGGTTCAACAGAGGAAAAACAGGTCTCCTGCTCTGCCAGGTAGAGTGGTGCTGTGTAGCAGAGTTGTGTAAATCTCAGGACAGGATGGAAGGAAATACCTCTTTATATGGCATTCAGCTTTGCAAGAAAGAATGTAGACTAATAAGGGTAAAAAAATGTTGCCATTACCCATATATTGGGTTACTCGATAATCCCCCAGGGCACTTTTAACTTCACCGTTAAGACACCCTGTTTTTGTTTTCAGATGTCTATGACACCTTAAATTAAGTTAGGGATGGTTCATATCGGAAAGCGCACGTGCATGTGTGCATTTTTGCACGTTTCCTCATGTTCCATTTATAGCAGCGCATTTGTTTCAATGGGCTACCAAACATACAGGAACACACAAAACATAAAGCAGGTGCAACTTTTACAAATCACACCATACTGCGGTACCATGCGGTTTGGTGGACACAAACACACCACATTTGCTAGATGCATTTGGGTGCATTAGGAAATAATGGCACCCATACCAGTCTAGCAAGAGCAGCACATTCCCATGGGGTGCGGGAAATGCACACAGAAATGCTCTTTTCCCGCACCAAATTATGGTGTGGACAGGCCCTAAATGTTTGGTTTTTATGGTCAACAGCCTTCCTTTGCATGACTATTTTCCTTTTACTATAAAGCAACCCCTTGGTATACAGCAACGTTAACCAAAGAGTTAAAATTTGATTTAATATGTGCAGTTTAGTTGTACACTGGAAGACTTCCAGCTTACACCATTCTCTGATGTGTTTTGAAGGCTAGAGGTTTGCAGCTGTAGTATGTGAAATATCAGTATGTGTTGCCAATTGAATATTGATCTACTGCAGGAGTTATGTTTGAGCCATACATAGAGCCTTTCCTACCACGTGGCAAGGCAAGAATGGTGTCATAGACAGCAAACCGCCGTCTGGGGTCAACTCAAGACAAGATTCTCAAGTCTTCTTGGCCCCCAGCTGTTTCCTGTCCTTATGACACCAGGGAAATAGGGTAGTGATGTAGAATCTCCATTTCTGCATTCATAAAGGTATCAGTCCACTTTTGAACTTATATTTCAGTGTTTTGTAGAACCTGAAACAGTTAATGCGTAAGTCCAGCCAAAAGGTTTTTTTTTTGTTTTTAGTTTTGAATAGAGTGGGATAGGTTAGAATCTATATTACAAAAAATAAATATGTTGCACCATAATTTGAAATAATCAAAGGTGATATTCACAAAAAAATCTAACATTATCACTCTCCACAGAGAATTTTATGCATTTGCACATAAAATGTGCCCAGTGTTCTAAAAGGTGCCCAGAAAATGTGCCACATAAAATGAATATGTAGTTCTGCGCATTCTTCACACCATGCTTAAATATATCCTCCACAGAGAAATTGATGAATCCCGCCATCTTTTATGCCTACATGCTCACCTCCACAGATGGACCTGTATATACGAAGGTCTGTAGTGCTTTCCCCATTTGGGGATCAATCGTATTCACTCTCTGCCACCGATATCAATGATACTCCTCCTCATATGCACAAGGATGGTGGGACTTGAGATATAATTCTTCGCAAAAAATAAGGGTGTGCGGCCCCTTTAAGAAATTGGCCTCACCACGTCCTCCGCTCTGCAACCAGACTCACAGGACATAGGGACCCCTCATAGTACACTATATCTTAAAACACTGTATTTCAATGAAAATTGCACTTACATAAGTTGAGAAATGCATGCATGTCAAAATGAGAGTGGGGCCGTGGCTACCACATCACTTCCATTATTGCCTGTCAATCACGCCACCCGGCCTGATTCTTCTGTGCGTATCGTCACAGTCATGTGATTTCCTCAGGAAGTGTCTCCTGTACCATACAAATCTGTGCTGTGAGAGGGGGGAAACAAAAGCAAATCTTTTTTTGCTTGTGCTGGCTGTAGCACCTCCCTAGGCTGAAACCCAATTTATGGATGTTCATATGGTTTAGCTACAGCACAGCACCAGTCATAGCCCCAATCAAAGTCCCCTCTTCTCTGTGTTAGTGTAGTAGATGTGTTGTAATGAAACCTTGTATATGCAAAAAGAATAGATACCTACCACATCATCCTTGCAGCTATACTGTTCAAGATCTTCTCCATTCATGTGTGACTTCACATCTAATTTAGTATTTGCCCACTTCTGTCAACCATGATATCTCAGCAACCAAAGTAGCAGTTGAAACAGGACAAAGTTCAACATGCACTTTATCCCCTGGGGACAGGATGATCAACAGAGCTTTCTGTTGAGACTTTTTCTTCAAAGTAAATCTAACCAGTCAGTAAAATATCACAGCCATTTTAACAGGTAAAGCCCAGCTCTGAGCAAATAAAAGGTTATTCCTTGCAGTGGGGCTGTGCCCGTACTGCAAGGGTTAATTGCTTGTTTATGTCTACGTCAATAAAAAAAATAAAAATACTTACTATATCCAAAACTTCTCCCTGTGGCTATACCAGTCCTTGCGCTCTAGTGGTCTAGGGTCCTGTTGTCATCAAGACCAGAGCAGGATCCATAGCCCTGCTCTAGAGGTGACGATGCTGAGGGACAGTCCATCACTGGATCCCCCTTGTGGTCCATGCTGCTGATTGTGCTCCACTGCTGCGAAATGGTATTGTATTTTTTTTTGCAGCAATTTACCAAAGAAATAGAGACCCAGAGCACAGATGTGCACAGACTCCAGTCTCTACTCCCAGCTTTACCCAATAATGGCTTTTTGGTAATTTAGCAGTACCTTGAGGGGTGAGCAGAGGACGTTAATAATTCTACAAGCTAGTTACCAGTCCTCTGCCAGTCTCCAGCTGCTTAAAACTATCCTGGACACCTCCTCTGGCAGAGATTCTTTCCCCTGGTACTCCAGTTCATGTATAGCTTCCATCATTCCAGGTAGGAGAGCTCCAGATTCATGTAAAACTTCCTAGGCAGAAGACCTAGGAGGTTAGCAGCACTGGCAACACTTCACCCGAGGCTCCCTAAGCCTGGGAGGAAATACCCTTTTTTCCAGGTTAACCCAAATATTTATATCTCCTTCTCATCATGGGTAGAACCATCAAGAAAACATTCTTTGGCACCATCCCATCTTTAATACCAAGCACTATATTAATCCTACCGTAGACCCCAAATGAGTAGGAACGAAGGAAGTAGCTTGGGACTATAAATGTACCATACATGGAGCACAAAGTGGCAAATATAAAAAATAAAAAGGACGTTATTATATCAATAAAAACAGTTAAATACACATTGCAGCTACAAAATATTTCTCAATTGCCATATCAATGTGATATTATGGGCTGGAAATTGTGATTCCAGATTGTGATAGCCAGAGGTGTAGTAGATCGACGTGTTTCGTGATATAGTTGCTTCCTCAGGATCAAAGCCTTGAATCAAACAAATGATATGGCTCAAATAGTTTTAATCAATAGTTTAACATAACACACTGTATAAGACAAATGTCAATTTATCACCCTGGAGATAGAACAATAGATGTCCTTTAAAATTGTACGCCACATCATCAATAGTGCCCAAAAAATTCCTAAATCAGACCAAAAATGGTGGATGAGGTCCACAAAACAGGCAGGTAGATCTTAATTGCAATGCTTTCTCCCCAGTGACAGCAAGCCCTTTACATAAACAGCCATGTGGTCCACAAAATTGTATCCATATATAGTTATATCCTTCCCCAGTATGCACCATCAGCAACATATCCTCTACTGGCTGGTCAGAGAAGGACACAAATATTCATACTCCAGCATGAAGCTTTTTTTGCAAATTCCAAGCAGGCTTTTATGTGTTTTGCACTGAGCAGAGGCTTCCGTCTAGACACTCTCCCATAAAGCCAAGATTGGTGGAGGGCTGCCTGCAGAGATCTTTGTCCTTCTGGAACTTTGTCCCATCTCCACACAGGATCTCTGGAGTTCAGACAGGGTGTCAATTGGGATCTTGGTCACTTTTCTTACTATGTGCCTTCTCCACCTATTGCTCAGTTTGGGTGGGCGACCAGCTCCTGGAAGAGTCCTGGTTGTGCCAAACTTCTTCCATTTGAGAATTATGGAGGCCACTGTGTTCTTGAAACTTCAGTGCAGCAGAAATAGCCTTCCCTAGTACTGTGCCTTGCAATGATCCTCTCCCTGAGCTCTGCATACAGTTCCTTTGACCTCATGGCTTTTGCTCTTTTACAGTATGCATTGTCAGCTGTGAGGCCTTTTATAGATAGGTGCAGGGGCGGACTGACCATTGGAGCACTCGGGCACTGCCTGAGGGCCCGGGGTCAGTAGGGGCCCCATGAGATGCCCCTTGTACCTTTCATTGGCTTTTTCATAGGCTTTTTTTGGTGTGGGCGAGGACACAGGGGCCCCATGATCCTCTATTGCCCGGGGGCCCCATGAGTTGTCAGTCTGCCCCTGGATAGGTGTGTGCCTTTCCAAATCATCTCCAATCCATTTAATTTACCACAAGGCATAGAACCATCTCAGTAATAATCAGCGGGAAATGAGGGGCACTTCTAAATTTCAAGTGTTGTTGCAAAGGGTCTGAATACTTATGCCAATGTGATATTTCAGTGTTTTGTTGTTTTTTTTTTTTTATACATTTGCAAACATTTCTAAATTTCTGTTTTCACTTTGTAATTATAGGGTACGGAGTGTAGATTAATGAGAAAAAAAATTGTTTAAAACACCTGTAGTATCAAGCTGCAACATAAAAAAATTGAAAAAAATGAAGGGGGTCTGAATACTTTATGAATGCACCGTACATTATCATTAGAATTGAAATGTGTACGCTCCAATGTAGATCTGGCGATATAGCTGGTAACACTGTTCAACAAATTTTTATTTTTTGCCAGTTTTGGAAACAAAAGGATCCATTTCTTAATGAATTTCACATTCTGAGTTCAAATATAACAATGAAATTTGTCAATTGGCTCTAGTTTTTCTGTAAACGGAAAGTTTTCTACTATAAGCGTAATGACTACATAATGCACAATAATTATAAAGATAGATGTCTTTCCACAAATATAAAGCAAGTGATATTGACTACATAACAAAGCCTAAATGGCATAATATATTGCATAGGATTACCAAGAAAAATTATAGCCATAAGCTGAGTTGAATCATTTTAATACTTAGGATTCTCACTAGTTTTGTCTTCAGTTTGTGTCGGTTTTGCTTCTCTTGGCTTTTCTCTTGTATTCGAGGAAAGGGCTATCTCTTACAACTGCACGTGACTACACGCTTCAGGTTCTTCCTCACTGACTCAACCACGAAGGATTCTGGTGCTTTAGGAATTGGTAGCCCCTCTCCATGAGGAACTGGACGTATTGCCGATGGAATATTTGGATAGTGCACAGATAACTTTTTCTTCTTATTTAGCCCTTTTACAATTGGAGGCACCATACAAAAGTAACAATTACTAACATGATCTGTTGGCTCTCTCCAAATCATTGGCACAGCGAAAGGCATAGATGCCTTTTTTCCATTCAACCATTGCTCCAGTGCCGTCCCACAAGAATTGCAGCATATATGTGGTGCCCAGCTCTTGTCCTGGTCTCCTATCTTGCAGCCAAAATACAAGTTGTAGGCTTTCTTAATCATTTCCTGTTTTCCTCCTTTTTTGTGAGATAAAAGTTATTTCACCGCAGATATAGCAGAAATTATCTGCTTTATTCACACAAGTTCGAGGCATTACTGAGTAGCCTATATAAGCATAAAACGAAATGTAAAGACGCTGTCGAACTACAATCAGCTACAGATACTGCAGCTTTTATGCAGTGAAGTGATGCAATTAAAGGCTAATATTGCATCATCTCAGTATACATGCAATTTTCTATTGGTCACCAGTATCAATTGCGCAATATGCAGCTGAAGTTGCATCATAATTTTGAATGGCTTACGTCATTAGATGGGTGAATATATCATGGAAACTAGAGCCAATCAACATTTTTTAGGGTCATTTTCGTTTTCAGCACCCCAAAATTATGTAAGATTAGCTAATTTTATGCCCAAAACTTTTTACCTGTTGAACAGTGTAATTAAAGGACCAAACAAGTCTATCTTTTGATCAAACAAAACTAGAAATGACAGCTATTACCTCTTCTTTCAAGCATTATCTTACTCCCATAATCTCTTGAGCTTTGCATGGCATAATAGAAGCTGTTTTAAAGCTTCAAAAAGTTAAAAATAATGAGTTAAGACAACCAAGTAAACTGTGATAAATGAAATGCTTTTTACTTGAGAAGGAAGATGCCACCAAGCATCTGACAAGCACATGCTTACAACATCTGAGGCAGCTGAGGGTGAGGACAATGACGACAGCTATGTTCACGCATTAGGACAGCTAGAGAAGCACAGTGCCCTGGATATGCAAGAAAGAAGAGATTGTTAGCTTCAAAATTAAGAGCAGAGCTGAGAGTGCAGGGTTTGGGTAAAGGCAAAGGGCATGTATAAGAGTTGACAGCATTCAAAATAGGAAACTCGAGAGAGATCTATGAGTTTGATATTTGAATTTTTTTGAGTTTTTGGAATAAACCACTTTATAGAGTTAAAAAAGTCAAGCTGAAAGAAGCGAAAAGAGAGAAGAGAGGAAATGAATGACTAAAAGATATAAATAGGAAGGAGGAGGGAAGGAAATAGAGAAGTACTTAGAAAGAGGGCAGTGACAGCCTGACGGACTAGAAAAAGAGTGAGAGACCAGACTTGGGAAGAGAAAATTGTGAAGATACAGACAAAGGAAAGCTGGATAGAAGACCGTTGAAGAGGGAGGAGATAAATAAGGCAAACGCTTAAGAGGGATCAGAGTAGAGAGTACATTAGAGGCTGAATGAGAAAAGTAGAAGGAGGGAGCGAAAAAGGAAAAACGTGAGACAAGGAACTACAAGAGAAGAAAAAAAAAAAAGAAAAAGAGGACCGAGGGAGTGGAAGGAGGAGGACAGAGAGGGTTACCACCTCCCAAACAGGGGCAGAGAGGGCTGGACTGCAGATAAACTGATGCTGGGGGAGTGATGGACAAGGAGCGCATTTCAGGTAAGAAATAGAAATAATATTCCACATTTTGTTGCTTTTATTTTTTTTTTCTTTAAACCCTAAGTTTCCTTCTAAAATGGAACTTTGTGGTATTAAAAAAGGGTTACGCAGGAAATCAATTAAAGTATATCACTTTTGTGCATTTTATGACCTCAGTTGTATCAGCATGCAAAGTGAATCTAATACTTTTCTATGGGACCGCCATGCCCTTTGAACTTAAAGTATTTGTCATTGTCAAATCTCTGTGTTCTTGCCATTCACATCGGTACATCATTAGACTGTGAGCTTTTGAAGTAAGGGAATTTGGAAATGTATGGATGAAGTAACAAAGGATATGCATATGGTAGGCAGGTGGACTACTGTCATATCAGATGTCTTATTGTTTTTCTTGTGCCTTGCCCACCTACAGAAATCCCTCATCATCTGTTAATCTATTGTATTGGGCAGCCCTCCCCCTCTTAACATTCAGTCCTCCTCAGTTTCTTCCTCTTCTTGTGACACCCCCTAACTTTCCTCGTGGCTCTTGGTAACCAGGATATAAAGCAGGGGAATTTTAGATTCTAGATGAAATAGTGTTTTTTTAGTGACCAGCCTTTTAGAAAAACAAATTTGCTTGCTCTGCCAGCTACGATTTGGCATTACGCTCGAACATGCTACAGAATATAGGCGTGCTGAGTAGGACTGCACACTCCCAAGACCTACAATGCTGCTTCTGTTTGACTACTGACCAGTGTAACCTACTCCAGACCATACCAACAAGGATTTTCTTTTCTCTAGCCAAACGTGCTTCTATTTACTTGCTGATGTTGGTTAAGGGCGTTCAACCTAGATCCCTATTTCAAAGTATAACACTGTCACAAGTAACTTTCCAGTGGTTAAAGGGTTTTTTTTAAGGGGAGGTCCAGATTTTGCTGCCACGTGAGCAGATAAAACTGGAAACCTTCATGCTGTAGCAGAACAAACCTTGTCACAGTCTACATCATCTCTGTGTCATCGTCTGGGCATTTTTTTGATGGTTTTTCTCTGCTGTCGACATTAGTTTTGAATACTTTGGAATAGGGGTGGGCAACCTTAAAGAGGTGGAGATCCACCTGGACAACATGGGAGAAGTCAGGATCACCGGGCACAGTGTCACCTCCTCACACCTGATTCAAACCTCCAATTGCCGTACTACCACATCAAAATCATGTGCATTGCATGGCAATCATGGGCTTAAATCAGGTGTTGAGGAGGCAACATATCACCCGCTTACCACCTGTCAAACACACTTAGATCGCTTTTCAGAGGAGCAGCAGTGCATGCTGCACTTGTGAATGAGCCCTTGTGAGGGTGGTAAAACCCTGCTGTTGAGTCGCCCTCAGTCCCTACCCCCTTTAGCTGCTGAGGCATCAGCCAAAGGTGTACACATGCTACAGCAAGAATTAAACCCCCTGTTGCTTTTGGTGGGCGCTACTGCCTGTCAATCAGAAAGTGCACCACACCTGCACCAATACTGTAGAAGTCCATGGCGAAGTGTTGCTAACCTAGGAAAGTCTCAGATGCACTGCGTTGCACCTGCGGTGCAGGTAAATTCCAGGACATGAGTGTGAAAGCGGCCGTATAGGGTGCTCAGAACAGTAAGGGTCCAATTACATTTTCAGTTTGGGGGTGATAAAACCCCATAGTTAAGATGTGCTTTTACCACCCCCACCGCAACTGCTCACCCTTTAGCTACAGTGGCCAGGGGTGTACACATATAACAACCACAGCAGGAGTTATACGCCCTGTCATGGTTGGTGGGTGTAGCCCCTGCCAAGCATGACCCATTCAAGCAAACAGGGCCACTCTGCAAGTGCCCCCCAACTGCATGCTTTTGTGGGATCCAAGGGGTTAAAGCAGGTGGTGAGAAAGCGACATAACACTGCCTGCTTTAACCCCTTGTTTGCTGTACTGCACAAGGTTGCAGGGCACTTACAGAGTGGCTTCATTCACCCACCTACCCCCAACCACACTGCTCAGTGGAAGTGATAATAAAGTCCCAGCATTAGTATCATCTATATATCAGACCTCCATGGTCTTAATGCTTGTTAAAGTGGAAGAAAAGCCTAACTATAACTATTCCTAAAAATGTTCCCACCCCCCTCTTCCTACCTATCCTGTATAAAAAAGATGTGTGTACCTGCCTATGTTTAATCGACTCCAGTCATGTGATCCTGCAGCTCCGGAACCCCCGTGTCAGTGACTGGCTGCTGCAGGGGAGAGGAGGGAGGACTGACAATGGTTATGCCACAATTCACAGCCTTTACTGAGTGCCCCCCCCCTTTCATAGGGGAGTCAAAGCTGTGGGATCACCTAACCAGACCGTATATTGAAGAAAAGGTAAGTACACAGATCTTTTTTTATAC